ATAAAATATATACAATAACATATATTAATATTTTTGGAATTAATTGTATATATTATTATTATATATAATACAAATTTTTCTCCGAAAACACCTAAAAATGCAAATAAATGATCGAGATGCTTATCATTGCATCTGCTTGAAGCTTATCGCAATTTCTGAAATGCAACGAATGTGTCACTGTACTCGGCACATGTTTGAATGTAGTTTTATGCAAATTTTCCGCCATTGCATGAGGTGTGTGAATCGTATCATTATGAAGTTAAACACTTTAGTCCGATACCGCCAGAGTTATGGGATCGATCTTCTGCCTAAGATTGCTTAGTTGATATCAAAATGCAAAAGTATAAAATCATTCGATCAGCATCGAATCGCAGCAGGTGCCGGTGTTTTATTTGACATTAACAAACCAAAATTTATTTATAACTGAATCCTGGTATCGCCGACCATCGTTTATCCGCATTCATTTCATTCTAAGATCTTATTAACGTAGAATATTGCGTCACATGAATATTACAGTAATTTAGTAATTACAAAGTTTTGAGCTTCATTCAAACAATTGAACTTTCAGCTTGAAAAAGTTTCCTATAAATATTTAAGAATCTCCAATAGCAGTGAGCAGATGACGAGTTTTGTTTCCAGTCAGATCAGTATCGTATAATCTTAAAGTATAATTCCACAGTTCATAAACTTTGTCCAAACTTCCAGGCATATGACAGAAGATGCGATTTGCGTCATCAAAATCTTTCAGGCGCTGTCGACACGACAGCGTGTAAGTGGAAGCAATACTTTGTAACTCAAGGTTGCTATTCCACCTGAGTATACCCGTCACGTACACGTCGTCCACCCAAAACAGTTTCATATTCAACGATGTGCGATAAAGCGGAAATACTGAGTCAGCAGAAAGCAGGTATGCACTGCCGGAACAGTACGGCGGATAAATATCCTCAGAATATTCTTCGTCCGTAACATACCATTTGCTGGTATTCTCGCGGATGACATCCATCTCGTCCCATATCATACAGGCGATTGACTTTCGCAAACCGTTGTGCTTTTCGTTCAAAAGCTTGATGACTCGAAGTAGGCGGAATGGCTCAAGGAACACGTCATCGTCTATTTTCAAAACATACGACGCCTGAGGACAGTACAGTGCCGTCCATTTTAGCCACATAATTGCCTTGTGACTAAGATTCTTGTACGAATCCAAAAAGTTCTCTTGGATAATGTCGTGGAAGTGATCGTTTTCCGTTTTCACGGCGTCGTTAAGGTCTTGATCTGCAGAACCCATCGCGAACAACACCCCCATCCGCAAGTAACGATACAGGTCTGGATTTGCCCACGTTTTTCTGATGAACGTGCGAAGTTC